TTCCACGGGAGACAGAGCTAATCATAAAAAGGCTGCTGCAGGGGGACCGCAAGATGCCAGGGAGTGAAGGAAGAAGAAGAGGAGGAGGAGGAGGAGATTGGAGTTATACCCCGCCCTTCACTACCCAAAGGAGTCTCAGAGCGGCTTACAATCTCCTTTCCCTTCCCCTCCCCACAACAGACACCCTGTGAGGCAGGTGGGGCTGAGAGAGCTCTGAGAGAACTGCTTGTGACAGAACAGCTCCGAGAGAACTTGTGATCGACCCAATGCCGCACCAGCAGCTGCATGGGGAGGAGTGGGGAATCAAACCCAGTTCTCCTAGATTAGAGTCTGCACTCCTAACCACTACATCAAACTGGCTCTCAAAATGTTCAATAAAGTTTATTTAAACGAAGAAGAAGAAGCTGGTGCTGCTGGAGGGGTCTGCACGGCCCCTCCAGCGTATTGTTTTTAAATGTCTTGTTTTGTGTAATTTTGTTCTAAGTAGCATTGTGAACATCTAGAAATATCCTTCATGCAGGAGACGAGGCAAACAGGGGGGGGGGGAGAGAAAAAGCAAGAAGGTTACAACCTCATGAAGTATGAGGCTATTTCCACATTCTTCCCTGCCCCCAGTAAAAACATACTTTGTTTTTGAGCATTGTGGGGGAAAGCAATTTTGCTATTTCCCTTTGTGGTTTTCATTCTCTTTTGTCGAGTTTGGTGTGGTCAGGGCAGTTTGTTAGGCATTTTCCCCCAACTATCCCCACAGCTAAGTGCTCGTCGCTGTTTCCTTGCTTATATTTTGTTTTGGATGCTCCTTTGGGGTTATTTTTTCCGGAGGCATGGGATTGTTTTCCCTGCAGGAGGTGGGGGGTTCCCCCCCCCCCCCTTAAGGATGGCAGCCAGCCATGGCAGTGGTGGACAAAACCTACCCAGACATTAACTCCCTCCACCCTTTAAATAGAGGAAAATAGGTGCTCAAATTAGCTTTCAGAAGTTAAATTCCACTTTCTTTCCCGTAGTCAACCGCTGACCAAGCTAAGAGTCCAGCTGAATCCAGCTACCATCAAGCACAGGAACTGAAAGCAAGTGTGGCTGGAACAGCTACAAGCTTAAAGTTTATTTTTGCCACATCATTATCAGTCCCTGTTTCCCTCCACCCTGCAAAGAATCCTCCTAAAACAGTAAGCCAGACAGCAATGGGAGATTGGGGAAAGAAAGGAAGGAAGGAAGGATTTATACCCTGCCCTTCACTACACAAAGGAGCAGCTCACAAACTCCTTTCCCTCCCCCTCCCCACAACAGACACCCTGTGAGCAACGTTCCCTCTAAGCTGTGGAATCTTGCGAGCAAAAATCCTACTTTGTGAGCTACAGCCATCAAAGCTGTGAGCAAGCCATTTGGCTACTGGATACATTAGTTTGCTCTGGAGCCATCCTTCC